TTGACCCATCCATCACCTGTCCCCTGTCTCATAGAGCCAGTGGGTGCCTTTGTTATTGGTATTATGTGCTGAGGAGGCGAGACAAAGTGTCAGTATATGATGACGTGGGAATCAGAACAGGCTGCTGCGAAACATCAGCATGTTAGCATGAAATGTTAGCATTTAGCTCACAGCACCACATCTCGGTAGAGCTACACAGAGAAGGATGTTATGGGTAGCTGTCAAGCAAGTTGTTTGGTTGATTCGACTTCTGTCGGGAAGTGAGTTTGAAACATAGGTAAAAACCAACATGAATTTACTACAGACAAGCATAAAAGAAACCACAACACAAACATAAACGAGCAACCTCTGTGCATATACAAGCTTTAAGGCCTTTTCACATCTGGGACAAAATGAAAATACAAAATATTCTTTGTCAATTTTTCGTATTCACACCTTTCACACCCAGCCGACACAAATATTCATATTCCATGGATTCCACTGAAAAATTCCCACCGTCACACAATCATCAATTTATTGTTATTTAACCACCACTCAGCTCTAAACACTAGAGATGGGCTCATTATTCCAAGTCTGCAATAACCCAGTGTGGTTGCAGTTCCTGTGGGTGATGCCATATTATTGTAACAGGTATAAATGCTGAGCTTCATTGCACTGGTTCATTCTGGACTGGACTGAACTGAGTCCAAATGTGTTAATCATATGCATGTTTGTGATACATGACCTTTAATAAAAGGCTTGATGGTCAGTTTACAATGGTCAGCTGATAACAGAGTGGCTCCGGGGCTCGTGGATTTCTCAAGGAAAGCTCACATGCTTTCATTGCTAGTAACTGTAATAGTAAAACGGAGCAATGTAACACTATTGTTTATCCTATATGGTCAGGTTATATAGTATATCTTTCACAACAGCTACATGTAATTTCTGATGTGTTTAATGTCCACATCATAATGTAAGCTAATGCACTTGGAAATGACTGGTGATGCCTTTGTTGCCTTGACAGTGAAGTATATCTACCCCACTTTTGTTGCCCCTGTATATCCTCCTTATCTTCATTGTCTCTATAGTCTTTTTTATTGGTCAAAGAGGGCACTATTTTGTGAGATCAATATCCTAATTGTTGTGTGAGACAGTATGAAGAGAATTATGACACTAACATCCACGAAAATCTAATGATCGCATCAGTCATTATTTTTTTTTAGTTAGCTTGTTTTCATATTAGCATCTGAAATTTGCAGAAATCAGAACAGCTGTTGAGAAAAAAACCCTGCACTGCGAGAAATGAGAATTTATGGATTCCATGTAGATGGGCTCATAGAGGAAGATTGGATCAAATATTAAATTAACATGTGATTTATTCACACAAAAATTTCCCATTTGGTGTGAAAAGGCCTCTAGTATTTATACTGCCATCTAGCACTGAGGATTACAGATTTCAACCAGCTGCAACCTCTCCTGTTTGCCAAGCGTGAACTCCTGGTTAGGATTCCTTCAGAGTTCATTGTTCAGGAGGTTTTTACCAGGAGCTGAATTATCTGCAGAGGTCTCCTCCTCTCCAGGTGACCCAAACCAGTAAAAATACTGGATAAAGCAGCATCATTTTAAAAATCCATGTTTTCCCAGTGATGATCAGCTCAATGTGGAGGGGCTGCTTGCTACGGTGGCTGATGCGGAAATGCAAAAATGCAAAGGGCCCTATCTAGAGCCAGTGTTTGGTTTGTCCATTCTGGGTTACTGTAGAAACATGGCAGTGCAACATGGCAGACTCCGTTGACAAGGACCTGCTCCCTATGTAAATATAAACGGCTCATTCTTAGGAAATGAAAACACAACAATTCTTATTATCAGGCGATTATACAATAGAGAAAAAATACTTGTTATATTCCATCTCTGCCAGTAAAGCCCCCTTAATCCTACACACTGGACCTCTAAGTCAGTGCCCCTTTAATTAGAATAAACACATGGGTACTAGTGTTTTTTGTAACTGTAGCCTGTGATGATAAAATGATAAATGTTTTATTTGAAGAGAAGCAGTTATTTATGTTTCCTACTTGAATGCCCTGGATCAAAGTAAAAATGATTACCACTAAAAATGTAGTTACAAACCATCTCAGAAGAACCTCTACAGTAACTCAGTAATATCTTTGGGTTTTCCCATCCCGAGGGCCCTCAGACGACAGCCCTCTTGCATCTGTGTGGACTCGGGGTCAAAATATTCAAATTATTCAACACTATCTTTAAGGGTTCTTGAAATTGGCCCTGTTTGCTCTTAGGTGTAATTTTGTGCCCTGTCTGAGACATTAATATGGAGAATAGTTTTTATAACAGTGTCTATTTTAAGAGCCAGAGCAGGAATAAAATGTCCAAAGAAAAAGCTCGTTGTGCTCTGTGTTCTGACCAGCGAGCTGCTCACGATGACTGGTTGTTCCAAGGTTTCTTAAACTGTACATGGTGGAGCAATAATAGCGGTTGACTTAATACCACCAGGGCCCACTAACTCCATTAGCAGCACTCGTGTTTTTCTATTGCGCTTCGTTAGCCGCTGAGACTCTGTGCCATTTAAGGCTTTGTGTCCATTGTGTGGTTGGTTTTATTCAAAGGAGATCATCATTCAAAGAAGAGGCACAACACTTAGAGGAACACAAACCCAGAGTTTAAATGTCGTTAACCTCGAGTGCTGCCAATAAAAGGCTCAGCTACCCACAGTGAAGCTCCACCAGGTACACCACAGAGAGGTCTTGTGGGATCTGTTTCTATCTGCCCTTGACATCCAACATAATATGGTGTATAGCATAATTAAGCCCACTCTCATATCAACATCTTTACTTTTTTAAGCCATCACAATCAAGCGCAACAGCAAAGGGAGCTCATGACTAAAACAGGTCAGTTTACTTGTTTGGATACCCAGCCTTAACCAATATGTTGGGTTACATAACACAAACTTATTTTAGTTGCAAAGCTTTCACTGTAGCCCAAGTTGTTTTTATGACGTGATTGTGGTTTACTGCAGTGATTGGCCTATGTAAGTGTAGAATAAAGTGTGTGAAGCATGTAATTATGTGTTAATTTACATAATTGCATCAGTTAATATACTTCTCAATCATGGCAGAATTATAGAAGTTGAAAAAAATATCATCTGTGTTTTACCCTAATAGAGCTCAAACACTGAGGCCAGTGTCCTCTGCAACACTCACTTTTCATTCTGACTTAGTGAGTTGTTATTTTACTTGTTGATCTCTTATTGTTTCCTCAATTTCGTGGAAAACACCATAACTGTTTGGAAAAAACCCAGTGTAAAATATTAAGAAGTGATTGTAGGTTTTTGTATCATAAGCCCCTTTTTGACTACAGGAACTTTTGCCAGAGACAAGGAACCTTTGAAAGAAATGGGTAGCACAGCAAAACAGTTATTTATCAGCATTAATACATTTAATATAGTGTAACCTAGGCTACATGAGCCACAACCCTGAAGTATAGCCTACTTGTTGAAATTCAATGGATGTGTTTTGGGTCTCTATTAGTTAGTTAGTTCATTTTTTAGTAGGCTAGATAATAAAAACACTCTCACCTCAAGATCCAAGGTTGCTGTTGTGGAGCTTTTCATCATATCACATGATCTTCATCAGCAGATGGATTTCACCCAGTTGCCATGTGATCTAATTGAAAGCTGCAGGAAAGCAATTAAGTGGACCTGGAGGTGAGATTGTTTCCCCAATTAGTTCATGAGAAGTTAATAAGTTTACATTGTCATGGCTGATATTGTGCAGTACTGTACATTTGATAGCTTAGATATTAAATCCATAAAGGTTGTTGAGTTTAATGTCGTTTTTATTGTGCTGTATTATCAGTATTAGACTAAAACATGCACCAGGTTGCTCCTTGTCTTTGTTTGGCCTTTTTAAGGAACTTTATCTAAGGAAACAAATAAAAGCAAAAGATATCTGTCTGAATAATAGACCCAAGCATGGTTAAACTCGTGCAAAAAAAGCCCTCCAATATTGTCCATATCCACAAACCACAGTGGAGGCTGAATGGAGCCTACACGTGCGGGTATTGGATTCTTGGAGACGCCACATCATGTAGGCTACAACCCACTTTGTTCGTCATTTACAACTAAACATCGGTGTAAGCTGTTCAGGTGAAAAATCGAGATAATGATGCGGACTTTGGTTTTGGCTCAGTGTGTGTGTGTGTGTGTGTGTGTGTGAGTGTGGAGGTGGAGGAGGTGGAGGCGTGCCTGGGAGATGGAGAGAGGCTTGTAGTTTAAAATGCGATGTGACAGCTCAGGAAAAAAAGGGGGATGATAAAGGCGCTGTTATTGGATCAATCTGGCCCTGAATGCCCCCTGTAAAACACTTACACACACGCGCGCGCGCGCGCGCGCGATGCAGGAGCGCGCACGTGAGAGGAGACGTGGAGAAAGGAAAGAGTAGTCGCTTCTTAAAGTTACCAGAAAACATAATACATTTATATAAATACAGGTTATATTCCTGAGAATTTAATGGAGTCGGTCCATCAATCACTCGGCTGTTTCCACGCGCCAGCTTAGCCTCGTCCTCATTGTTTTGACAGGGCTGAATTAAAGGACCGCGCCAGGTGTAATTAGCGATCGATCCGGAAAGAAGAAAAAAAGCAACGCTCTCTCCCTCTCTCTCTTTCTCATTTTTCCTCGTGCTCTGCCTTCCGTTACTCCATTAACCGCGTCTCTGACGTCACAGGGCGATTAACGTTTCTTATTGGTCCCGCGAGCAGATGGAGGAGTCCTAATGAGCTGGCTCGCGGAGAGAAAGAGCTGGGTTGACATCTCGGCTGGACCGTAAACGCGACATACCTCGTATAGCCCGGTCTCCGCCGCTCCTCTACAGACCATACCGTGGCCGCGGGAGACGGTCCGTCCGCCTGGGTTCCCTTCTCTCCCCCCCGCCGCCTTCACCTCCTCTTCCTCCTCGCAGCTTCTTCCTCCTCTCCCAGACTTTTTTTTTTCTTGACTGCATGTTCAGCCACACTGCCTCCCTCTGCATCTTCACTTCGGCCCCGCCGCAGCCCGGGCGAGCATGGACAGTCGGGTACTCGAGCATCCTCACGCCCAGTTCGGAGGCTCCTTGGGCGGGCTGGTGGGCTTCCCGTACGCGCTCGGCCCCCATCACCACCACCACCACCATCACCAGCACGTCTACGCGAGCGGACACCAGCTGCAGTCCGCGGCCGCCGGCCCCTTCTCTATAGACGGATTACTTAACGGCTCCTGCTCGGCCTCGGTGGTCAGCTCCAACCCGCTGCTCTCCCCCGACAGCCAGCAGTTCAAACTCTCAGGTAGGCCTGGCTCTTTATGTCTCATAACAAACCTGTGTGGAGACAATGTATTGTTACGGCAAGTATGACAGAAGTAGGCTTGCTTTGTGTCCAAATAAGATAATTTTAGTGAACTTTGAGGCTAAATTAAACATTTTTAAAGGTTTTGGAGACTTTAATTTTAAACTAGAAACTCAGTCTGCAGGGAAAACCATGTTGTTTAAAAGTTTTGGAGCTTGATGAATTTAAAACGAAAATAAAAAAGTTTATGTGCAGGCTCATTTTAATAACTTAAACACCTGCACTTGAGGTTAAGATAAAGGTAACAATTCTCCTTAACCTCACTCAGATTGGTATTGTGAGCTGGTTGTTGAGTATTAAATGGTCAAAACTAATTTTTGCAGTTCCTGGGAATGCTTTAAAATATCAAATATGGCAGTAAGGTGTGTTTCCTTTGGACCAAAATTTTGTGACCTGATTTATCTGAGTTCAAGAGCAACACAATTATTAAAAAGCAAGGTGTGCTGTGACAGAGGTAAGTTTCACATTAAACTGGTGCTTTACAAGTAAATCCTGCCATGACAGTCCCCTCTCTCTCCTCTCTCTCACTCACACACACACTCATACACACACACACACACACACACACACACATACATATAAACACACACTTGTACAAACACACACGTCGACCAATGCAGATTCTGGGGACCCGGATAAGGATAGTCCCGGTTGTAAACGGAGACGCACGAGGACGAATTTCACCGGGTGGCAGCTGGAGGAGCTCGAGAAGGCTTTCAACGAGAGTCACTATCCGGATGTGTTCATGCGGGAGGCGCTCGCGCTCAGGCTTGACCTCGTGGAGTCCAGGGTTCAGGTAAAGACACACGAGTCACATATTTTCAGGAGCATTAATTCATTTATTAAGTTGATGGAGGAAAACAGATAGGTGTGAGTTGTTGGTTTTTTTTTTTTTGTTTTTTGTTTTTTTTTTTAAAAAAAAAAACAACATTTCTATCTTACTCGCGTTTTAAAATCTACCAAACATTAAAAATAAACTGTCAGAGGGGCGTTTGTTTTGTGAAGGCCTCCCCCATACTGGGATAGCTATTTGTCAATTATCAAAGCACCAATAAAGGGTCTCTTTTGAATTATGCATGGAGGCAACCTATTGATTTATGGGTTAATAAAAACAAGGCTATTTACTGAGCAAACCAAGGGGTTAAAATGGTAACTAGTATTATTCCCTTTCCTCCAGTTATAGGCTAATATATAATTTCTAATTATGCCACAGTTTATTCACAATTTTACACTTATTTTTAATCTATTAGTATTTTTTTAGGTGGCTCAATTTAAAGAACATTAAAGCTAAATCTGTTATTATCCTATTATTATTATTGTTATTATTATTATTATAATTTTTATTAATAATAATAATAATAATAATAATAATAAAGACAAAACACAGAAAGAAATAGCAACTGTATGATAATTTAAGATTATGCTATTTTGTAGTGGTAGAAATTTAATAAAAACACTATTTACACTGTAAATTAATAATAATAATAATCATAATAATAATAATAATAATAATAATAAATTATTATTATATATTATTATTATTAAACAATATGCAAGAACTTAAGGTGATGTCTTTCTCAGGAATAAAATACAAAATAACCTACATATAATTTTGTTAAAGGTGACGCTCATTTCTCATTAGGTGCTTATTTAATTTGCTAATAATAGCCTAATAGCATAACAGCAATAACAGTGGCATGATAATACTAATAATAACAATAATAATAATAATAATAATAATAATAATAATAATAATAATACAAGAAATACATATAGGTTTTTGTACGTATTATTTGCTCAGCAAAGGAGCTGAGTATCCATTTATGACACTATGTGTAATTTAACGTATATCCATGTATTTTCAAATGAGCCACATATAATTCGCTAGCACGGTTGGATGCAGTAAAAGCGGGACAGAAGCAGGGCTCTCCGTTGCTGTATGTTGTTTAGGGATTTCGCTCCTAAACCTCAGATTATTGTTCCCTCAAGCTGCTTAACGCTCCTTTATCACCAGGTTTGCGGGGGAAAGATATAACCAACATTAACAATTCATAAGAAGCGCCATTGTCGCACATGATGTTGGTGTCCCGTCCTTATTATGCAATGTACGCGGATCCTACTTCTGCATGCTAAACTCCTGGCGTTATCAGCGCCGAACATACGGCCCTGAGCGCGCCCAGAGGCCGGGCAGCGAGGGCTCTCAGGCGGGGGAAGCTCCCTGGTTTGGCTCGGTATGGAGGGAGGAGAGCCGGGGATTGCCGTGCAAGTGTTAAGCCCCACATGAGCGGAGGGCTGGGTGTGAAAGAACTACAGAGACGGGATATGGCCGATTTAGCCACGGTGCAATTAATTGGCGGAGTTACCCATTACACAGACTCATTGGTAATTAACACCGACACATCTGTGCATCTGCTGGTCCACCGCTGTGACCTATTAACCTAATGTACTCTTTAGACGCTTAAAGCTGCAGTAAACAAAGACACAGACCGGCAGAGATGCAGAGGACAGTGCTTTCACTTGTTTCAGGGCTTTGTGGAATTTGTTTGGATTTGTAGGCAATATGGTTTTGTCCTTACCATCTGATAACCACTGTGACACTGATTTATCACTATTGTCATGGCAGGTGTGAGGTCTGGTGTTGTTTAAACACACATCAGAAGGAGCATTTTGGCAAATTTAACCCTCTTCAGTGTATTCATTTTCTTGAGAGGGATAAATTATTAGGAACACCTACATCCAAGATACAGAAATGACCACATACTATAATCAAATCATTTTGGATACACTCTCGAACAGTGAACATTATAGTGTACATACAGGAAGTACTTATTGCACGGATACTGGACTGAATTGCATCAGATTGTGGAGGTGGTCATGTTAATGGCATACAAGTTGTAGACTTATAAGTCCGGCCTAAAATAACTGAATGCACTGTTTTATAAAACTTATGTAACCATTGTCCAAAGTGATGCTGCGACTAACAAATATGTTGTCGAGTTTAATTGATGCTTTGTTTTTATGATAATTTAGTCTTTAAAATGTCAGAAAAATTCTCCAAAGCTCAAGATAATGTCTTTAATTTGCTTTTTCTTTTCCAACCAATGTTACAAAACGCAGAGATATTTAATTTACAATGATGCAAATCAGGAAAATCAGAAGAATCTAAAACAAGCACATTTCTGGCATTTCTCTTATATAAATGATTAGATAATTGGCAAAATTGTTGACACGAAATTATTTGGTAATGGACCAATCCATTAATCAACTAATTCCAGAACAAATAAAACTATAAAACCAAATTAATTTGAATATAATGAACCAATATAAAGATGGTGTTTAACAGATGGAGAGAAACTACCCTCAAACAGTGATCATCTCCTGTGTCAGTTCTCCACCTGTGTATTTCACGTGTGTGTGTTTTGGTTCATAGGTTTGGTTCCAAAACCGACGAGCTAAATGGAGAAAAAAGGAGAACACAAAGAAAGGGCCGGGGCGGCCTGCTCACAACTCCCACCCAACCACGTGCAGCGGCGAGCCCATGGACCCCGAGGAGATCGCACGCAGGGACCGAGAGCGGGCCGAGAAGAAGAAACGGAAGCAGGAGAGGAAGCTGCTGAAGTCACAGAACAAACTTCTCGCAGGTGACAGCTTCCACACGCCTGGAGGTTCAGAGAGTGACAGCGGGGTCTCCCAGTTCACCGACAGCGAGCAGCAGTCTTCGAGCGTTTCTGGGACTATTCACATTGAACTGCCAGCATCAAAGGGTGCAGGAGGACACCAAACTGAATCCAGCTGTGACCAAACACGACATGACTTCAGCCAACTACAAAACCACCAAAACCAAAGAACCACAGGAGAAGCGGAGCAGGTTTCCCCAGGCAGCACGCACAGCTCCAGTCCAGGAGGCCCGAGGTCCTCGACCCTCCAGAAACGCAACCCTTTCAGCGTGGAGAGCCTCCTCTCTGACGCCACGCCTCGACGGAAATCTCAGCTGGACTTCCCCTCGTTGCCCAGTCAGAGGACACTGGTGGGTAAAGGTCACTTCTTGCTTTACCCCATTACCCATCAGCCCTTGGGCTTTCTAGTGCCCCAAACAGCCCTGAAGGCCTCACCCTGTCAGGACAACAGCATTAACAGGCTCAGCCTGGGACAGAGGTGTGTGCCAAGTGAAGGGAGCCCTGCCCCCTCTGAACTTTCCAGCTTTGTCACTAAGCCTCTAAACTCGGATCATATGGAGCATAACACGCAGCATCACCACAATCACATTAGCAATAGAGTGGATGGAACAGACATGGAGGAGTGTGGTGGTGGTGACTGCAGCAATGGAAGATTCCCCGTTTCTCCTCCAGCAAACAGTGTGGCTCAGACGGCTGCGGCCAGGCTGAGCTCAACACAGTCCAGTGACAGTGGCGAGGAGAGGAGTTTGAAAGTTCTAACGGAGGCAGTGACCAACGGCTGCCAAGCTGCCGAGCCGTGTGCTAAAGAGAAGGGTGCAAGAGAGGAGCGAGCGTCTCCAGACCTCTCCGAGTGTCTCAAGGCAAACACAGACTGTCAAGAAACACCCGGAACAGATGGAGAGGATGTAGATATGGACTAACACTTGCAAGGAGCAAACATAAACAAAGGACCAGGAACACTGCTCAGACTATTCAAACATTCCCAAAGCTCTGCTGAGACACTCGAAAAACATATCAGGAATCAGGAGACTTAATTCTCATCTATTTTTTAATCATAACGTGTGATCAATCCAGATGGCCCCCAAAAGCTGTGGCTGTCCTCACATTCAGGCTTTAGGCCTACACACCTTTAGAAGCAGGTTCTTTCTCTCTTTTTTGGTGACCAACTTGTAACAAAAACTAGGCTACAATAAACATCTTACACACAACAAAAATCCTCAGATATTGTAAAAACGAGAAAATGATATTTATATGTAAACATTTTGATAAATAAAGTTATTGTTTAAATTGAATCACTGTCTTTCCAGGGCGATGTTGAAGTGGGGGGGGGGGGGGGGGGGGGGGGGGGGGGGGGGGGGGTAAAGATGGAGAGGTTGCTGTGTGGCAGAACCTTGGATCATGGTGGCTGGAGTTTTGTCGTGTTACAGCAGATAAATCCCCCCTTTTCTCTGTGTAGTGAGCCGGAGCTGGGGCTCAAGTCCGTCTGGCTGTTTGTATTTATTGCTTTAACAAATTTATTCATTTGAAAGGCCGAGCTGGAATGAGGTTAGTGGCCGCGGGCTATAGGACCCTGCGCCTCCTGCTGAGTTTTGATATGAAAGTAATTATTTTCCCACTGGCTGCCGCGGGTCTCGAGGCAGTTTTTTTTCCTCCTTTCAGCCCAAAGGGTTATTAGACATTACCGATTTCTAGTGATATGGAATCACATAAACTTCCTACAATAATAGAATTAGCATGAAAGGCAGGGGTGTCAAATTGAAATGGGAAAATAATAGCCGCGCCAGCTGCATCGTGGATGTGTGCGTGCTTGCAGGCGTGCGCGTGTGTGCGTGAGTGCGCATAGTCTATTGAGCGCGAGGAGGAGGAGGATGAGATGGTGGTAGATTCGTGGGGCGGAATTTTCATGAGCTGCCGCGGTTGTCAGACGGCCCTTGTAGTCGGCTATATTAAGATAGATGTTCGATGATATCCCTCATTGTTCTGTCGCTTATATTGATGTTGCTGCGTTATCGCCCTATTGATCATGTGTCGCACATAATAGGACAGGCGCGCGCCCGCCTGCCTGCGCCTTTTTACAAAAGCGCCTGGGCCCCTCGTCATTTGTTCTAATAGGACTGTGAGTCCCTCGGGGGGAGACAGATAAAGATATAGGAGAGGAAGAGGGAGAGAGGAGGCGAGTGATGCGCTATTGCATTAATAATTTTTTGACCAATTGTTGGCTGAGCTCAAAAAAGAAAGTAAAAGTAAAGAATGGCTGAATTAAAGATGTTTAGGGACAGATGCTCCTAAATGTGCAGGTGTGTGCCCACGTGCACTGACTGGACCTGCCCGTTTAGGAAAGAGTGTGTTTAGCTTATGAAGTGTAAACGCCACCAATTCCCCGGAAACTGAAATCCCAATTATTAAAACCATTAATTCTGGCGAGCCAGTGCGCGGAGGAGCCGTGTTGACAGCCCGGCTAAATATCCCTGATCCCTCCCGGTCACCTCGCCTTTATTTGCAAATAAATTGAGGGGGATCCGAGGGACAGAGCTTTACTTTGCTGCGCCGACCTAAAATGAATTTCCGTGCCTGAGTCCCTTTAATAATATTTACATAATTTTCGCTCAGTGACTCTGCTATTTGCGCTGTAGGAAGCGGGGGGCTTATAGAAAAATAATTAGACAAGGGGACGAGGAGGGAGCGAGAGTGAAAAACAGCAGGAGGAGGATGGGTTAAGACCGAAGCTGAACACTAAATTCCCAGACAGCTAAAATCAATGAAAGTAATAACCCTATTATTTAATTCATAAGGACATTATTTTCCCATAAGGCCTCAGGAAACGTCCCCTTCGACCGAAACAATCACATTAAATCGTTCATTCCGCGTGCGCTGTGTGAAATTTCTACTTTTATTCTCTCCTCTTTTTTTTGGGGAGGGGAAACGCTTTATTATAATCGGTTAGTTTCAAGAGTGCGATTAATTAGAAAATATAGGTCTGATCTGCCTTCAGCAAGGCCTTTATACTAGCTCATGTGTGTGTGGGTGCGTGTGTGCACAGACAACGAGCCCATAAAATGCGCCTTTGTTGCACATTATGGGCAATTGTCCCAAATAATTAAAGAAATAAACTGAAAAATAGGTTTGAAATTTTACTGTGAAACAACTTTGGACATAGAGGAGGCCTCTGTATTATCAGAGACAACATATCTGATCCTTCACAAGCACTTTTAAGATCCAACTGTGAATGTAAATAATTATTAACCTAAGTATCTTACATGTTTAATTGGAGCTGTTTATTAAATGCCTTACAATCAGGGAGGAGCAGCCTGTAATGATGATCTCATTACCCCAAACTGCATTATAGAGGTAAAGATGTACCATTATAGTGGCAGCCTGGTGCACATTACCTGTGCAAACATCATGTGATTTTAGCTGTTTTTGTACATTGTTTTTATATTTCCGTTTTTTAAGACTTTAAAATAGATACATAAAATGTCACCTAGCTGCTTCTGCAGGTCAAAACAAGGAAAAAAATTCTACTTTTTATGTTAATTTTGGGTACAAGAGGCCTCTGTGTCTGTGTCTGTGGGGCTACATCATGAAACACTGGCTGAACTCAGAGAGAGAGAGAGAGAGAGAGAGAGAGAGAGAGAGAGAGAGAGAGAGAGAGAGAGAGAGAGAGAGACGTTTCGGTGGCACCAACACAAACGACCAATCGATCAGCCCGGACCGGACAGGCCCTCCCGCTGTGTCCGTGCCGCTCATGCATCACACTTTATGAATTCAATTTCAACCGGGAGAAATTTTCAATTTGAACGCGCGATCATTACGGCGTGGGGGGATAGCGTAAATTGTTTTTGCTCTATTATGCATTCGGACGCCATCATTTTTCTTTCTAATTACCGAGGTGTCAGTGCGGCCTGTCACCCGGGCGCTGATTTTCAATTTAACTGATCATCATACATTCATTTTCCCATTTGATAAATCTGCTATCTAGACGCGCCCGACATGCCCGGAATATTAAGCGGCGCTGGGGCGCAGTAATAGGGGGATGTGTATGCGGCAATGAGCGCGGATCAGCCAGCTAATTTAGCACCTTCCACATTCCCCGTCTCCATCCCCCATTTCCAATTCTCAAGAGGAGGCAAGGGGGAAAAAGGCAGGAGAGGAGAGAGTCCAATGCCTGCCTGTAACCTCCAAGAGTGAAGAAGAAGAAAGAAAAAAACCCTGAGGTTAGAATGAATCAGAGAAATAGCGCCAGAGAAGAAGAGAAAGTCCTCCAATCTTACGCAATTTAGAGGCAGGATTAATGAACGCTAATTGAGTTCTCCAATACGTGTTATTTTTATTTAATAGAAACAAATTTGCACAATTAATTATCAACGTAATTTCAAGAACCTATTATAACGCCCTCCTCCTCCTCTACCCCTCTCTGACTCTCCATCACCTCCCTCCCTCTGACACGGAGTAAATTAGCAGCTTTTGTCATTAGGTTTAGGCGTCTTTGATCCGGACTGGATGGGCCTGCAGCCAACATCAGGCAGCAAGGATCCTCTGTTTGGCCTGCTGGATTTAGAAACTAGTGATGTACTGATATATAGTGGGCCTAAACCCCCTCTGTGCAGACTGCACTGGGCCTTAGAGAACCCAGGCTGTGAAGAGTATGTGTCATTTTAATTATGGCAGGTCTGTAGTACAGATCTTCATAGACCTGATGCTATATTACACCTTATTTGTTGTTCAGACAGATCAGCCTTATTAAAAATTATAGATTTAATCTCATGCAAAACAAAACAATCAAAATAATAATAAAAAAAACTCAGTGTCTGCTTACTATAGTTTATTTGTTTTTGAATGATGCTGTATAATTAAATCTATTATTATTATTATTCAGTGGCTCACTTGAAGAAGACCATGAGATGTGGACAAAAGCTCTGGAAAAGTTAATCTAAAGTTAAGCTTTTTTGGGTCAAAGTCAACAATGATCTTTCATTTTTATAAAGGTGACTCATTCAACAAATAATTTAGCAAGCTTTCCCCCAAAATGAAATCACTCATTTATTTTAAACCACAATTCAATTCAGCACCTGAGCTTGTTCCAAATCAATTTACACTTCACGTTCAAGATAATCTTAAAACTACACAAACTAATTAGAGTTATTAAATTAAAGTTAGTTAGAGGTATTAGAGAACTTGTCAGCTAATAGCTTGTCAGACAAAGTTTTTTTTGATTTTTTTCTTTTACATCCAGAAGTGCACTGCAGCTGGTTTATTTTTAATCCTGATGTTCTGTGTGGTCTCCTGGAGACTCTTTAATGGCTCAGAAAAAAATACTTAAGGTTTTATCACCTTGATACTTCATGAGTTTCCCTAATCTTATGATAATTGCTTATAAACATGACTTTAGCCCACAGTCACCATGGAGAAAATGCCACATGACTTCTGTTCAGGGTCTCAGAGGCTCCAGTTGTAGGGTTAAAATGGATTTTCATAAGCTTTATGATTGGTGTTGACAGTAAGCAGTAAGTCTATTTGGATTTTTGAGTTTTATAACACTTTAACAGGGAGTTAGGTTTCTGTGGAGACTGGTTGACGCCCAAAATGAGTGAAAACACACCAGGCCTTTATTTATTGTCTGTGAAAGAAAAGCTTTTTAGCAAAAAAATAAAAAAATTGTTCATGTGTAGCCCATATAATATGTAAAACATTAAATATTTCTTCATCTGGTGTAGTATTAATGCTTTGTGATGTTTAATGTGCAAGGCTCAGTTTGTGGATTATGTTTTTTTCTATATATTAGGTTTAAATAAGGTCAGAAGCAAAGTAATAATGTTTGATTTTGCAGCTATTAGTATTATTATTAATTTTACACATACCTACAGCTTTGTAATCTCAAACAAAGAGGAAGTAAAACCAAAGTTAACAAACACAAGGCTTATTTTTGCACCTAATAGTTTCTCAAATCCCCTTTGGTGTTAGGTGCTGACTGAGACACACACATCCCAATAAGCCCACCTTGTTTAGATGCCAATAAGTACAGTCAGGAGCGTGCCTGTGTATGTGTGTGTGTGTGTGTGTGAGTGTGTGTTGTAGTGTAATGAACGTTTATGGGCACAAAGCAGCTTTGGTTTTGTCGTGTTCTTTGTTTCATTAGCCCAGTGGTTGTAATAAATGCCAGCGAGCCAACGGGATAGATTTTAATTAAGTCAGTGAGAGATGAGTGGAGTGACACAGAAAGCGGGCCAGGGCGGGGAGATGGAAGTGGAGGGGGACAGCTTTTCAATAAATCGGTTCGCTCAGGGGTTAGTCG